AGATGATACGTACGTCCAAACACGACACCCAAATTTCTTGCATGCATTAAGTTAGTTTCGCTCCTCTGACATACCCTAGAAAGTTCGTCAGTTGACAGTTGCCCTCTGATAGCTCCGCAAAGTACATACCGATGAAGATGGAGCATCAACGATCTCAAAGTATGATAGTGTTCCGTAGGCAGCTCCTGTACCAAGTCTGATATCATAGTTGCTTTCATCGCGGGGTCCTTGAGACTCGCCGCTGCAACAAACTTCTCATGGAGATCGAAAGTCAAAAGGGGATTCGGCAGCGCTCGGAAGTATGACTTTAGAACGGAGGTGATACTGCAGATATCGTTGAAGCGATCGGTATCGTGAAGATTGAACGACGTATAGTCGCCACTTTCGAACAGTTGAGTGATGACCTTGGATTGTTTGGATCCGCCGGTCTTCCGGTAAATTCCCTCGTATTCCAGGCCTATAAAACACAATGATTGAGTAGGTTATTAGATGAAACGTACCAAACATGAGTGTTCTTACCCAAGAGATCCACGGCATCGATGCATTTCTCCACAATGACTGGAACAAAATGCTGTTCGTCCCTCCAATCCGACCTCACTTGCTCGACCAAGTCTCTACCGAATAAGGATGGTACTAGAGATCATCATTAAGCGCAAGTTAAACATCATACGGGAGGAAGATGGTACCTGATCCATTGATAGCGACTGAAGCCGTCTCATCTCGATGGCCGTTCGTCTGCTGAGAACATGGCAGATGGACTTGATGAACACAGCGTGTGTGAACCGCGGTGCTACAATCTATAAGTGACGTTAGGAATGGTATCATACGTGACAGTTTTCCCTTCCTCTTTTTTACTCACTGGAACACCGCAGCTGGGATCCCCACATCTTGTCACCACAATGGTCGCACCGCGCAACTCGAAGGACGCTGACTTGCACGAAAGAGTGCTCAGCTCGAGCCTTGGACTTGTCGGGCCAGAAGAGGTCTTTCGCTGCTTTCCCAGGCCATTTGATAAACTTGCCCTTGGTCTGGGGTGTGGGATGCTCCTGGATTTCTGGCTTCGAGACCTTGACGTACTTCTCCGCAGACTCATCTGTGAACGCAACAGTCGACGAGGTTGTCGATGACGCCAAGGGGTACCTAATTTCTGGTTGACCTTGGAGAGGAGGAGGCTCCATCCCCGACGCTTCCATCCGACGAATGTATTGGGCGTTGAGTTGTGCTAGCTCTTCATTGCGAGCATTGAGCATGGTTGTTTCCTCTAGGAAAGCTTCCCTGGATGCCCTCAACTCTTCGATTTCACGAAGTATGTTTTCTCGTCTTTGGATGAGGGGGAACAACTCATCCGCATACTGATTCTTGATGTTATCAAATCGCACAGATAGAGATCTCCCAAGCTTCGCCGTAGATTCCGAGGGTCCATCAAGGGTGGATAAGCTACAGAAAGGGTGAGTCCTCAGGATATTAGGAATTAACAGATATAACAACATACCTCCTACTCGCAGAAAGTTCCTCAACCTCGGCTAGCGTCATGTCACGTTCCGCCTTCAGTTTCGACAGATCACGCTGAAGAACAGACAGACTGTCACTGAGGTCTCTTGATAATGCCTTCTGAGCTTCGTGCTTCCTGCTCTCTCCAGAAATGGCCGTTAACCGAGCAGCCTGGCCGGATAGTAGGACTCGAAGACGAGTAACCTCAGCTTCGGCGTCTCTTCGAGCGCGGAGTTCCTTGTCATACTCGGTTTGGGCAACTGTCAACCCATCCATGTATTGCTGACTCGCTCGCTATGTGTATGGAAGACCTCGTGAGTATGAAAAGACGGAGAATGCCGCATGACACTTACCTTCATGCCGTCAAGCTTTCTCTTCATTTCATGGAATTCCTGGCTTCTTTGGTCCACGACCATCATAATCGCACTAACAAATTCCATATTCAATTTGATATGCTCGGAGCCCCTGGAGGCTGCATCCGACATAGCTTCTTGCAACCTATGCTTAACCAAAGCTGCAGGATCTGGTCGGAAGGTTTCACCATCCTCAGCTGGAGTCAAGGTGATCGTTGTACTTGGGACAACATTAGATAAACTAGGTTCGGTTTTCTCCCGAGAGTGAGTTAGTCGATTATCGAGAGAAGGACGTGGTGAATGTTCACTACGCGATGCTGAATAGGAACGTTGACGAGAGTAGGGTATGTCAAGGGAAGAACGGAGGGGGGAAGAACTATCGGCGTAGCCATCAAGGCTGCGTTTGGTTCGTCCACCGGAGGCACGTGGTAGGGTATCGTAATGGTTCTGGGAGGATTGTGGGGAAAGAGGAGAAGTCTGGCTTTGTGAAGGTGACCATTCAGGACGAATTGTCATATTTGTGTCGCGGTGATTGGGCTCTCGTCGTTTAACAGGAGTAACATCTGCATGTCCTGGATCTGATCCAATAACAGTAACCTCACTGGTAGGTGTTGATAGTTGGCCGTTGTTTGCACTAGCTGTGTTAGTCCGTGAGGTATCCACTTTCAACTTCGTGACGTTATTTCCATTAGTCTCGGAAATGCTCTTCAATGGTTGCGGTCCCTCCACAGATTTTAACAAATCCGCGAAGTCCGCAGCACCCATTGAAAACCTTATCGGAGGCAGAGCAGGTGCAATAAACGTGGAGTGTGAAGTTTGTTGCTGGACAGTTTCGTCCTCTGGCGACAGTTCGGAAGATATTTCACTATCCAACTGTCCAGCGTCCGACCCGTCATCATTGATATCCATACCGGTATCCAACTTGAGCTCTGGCGGCCGAGTGCCCATCTTCGACTTCTTCGCCTCTTTCGGTGGAGGGACGGGCGGTCTATCTTCGTCTGACCCATACAGTCTAGATACTTCGAATTCTGCCTCAGTATCTGTTCCACTTTCTATACCGTGTGGGACGTCAGCACGATATGAAGGTGAAGGAGGGCGAGAACCGCTACTACCGGGGCGCGAAGAGGCGTCACGCTTGAGGTCCGCAGACGAGCCACTAGTCCTGAGCGATGATGGAGCGGTACCAGGTCGATATCTATCATCAAATGACCGTTGCGTTCGAAGAGTGCCGTTGTGTACGCTCAAGGTGCTTGGAGATTGTCGGCCTTCTAATGACGGAGGGTTCGCACGAGCAGGACTGCTGAGATCCACTCGACTACTGGTCCTTGCTGGAACTCTGTCTAAGGTAATGCTCGGTCGTATTGGTGGCCTCAGCCCAGCATTTTGATCCATACCACGTGAGGGGTCAAATGGTGTGCCAGAAGAAGCCGAACGCGAGCGGCCATTAAGTTGACTGATCTCGTTGGTAGGTGGGAGATGGGCGACATTCAATTTGGGGCTGTCGGTGAAAGGAGGGGGTGAAAGTGACGAGGGAATGTTGAAATTCTCTTGGCGTGGCGATGTAGCATTGGCTTGAACGGCCGGTGTCTGGGAAAGAGAGAATGTAGAAGCAGCTGGAGAGCTTTGAGGTGTATTGTAGGAGAGAGCAAATGCCGGGTTAATAGAGCGACGTCGGTCCTTGCGTGCGGCTGAGCCATTGGCGACTGTTAATCCACCGGTGGAATCAGTATCTACATTGTTTTCTTTCAAGAGCACATTTAGAGGTTTGTCCTGGAAGCTCTTACGTTTCTGTAACATTGGGTTCTCAGGTGGAACGGCGAGGGAGTCTCCACTAGATATAGGCAGTGTCGCTGAGCGAGCATGATCAACTGGGGACGATGAAGACGGGGGTAGCAACATGGTGGAGTATCGCTTACTACCCGAAGGTGATAATGCTGCGGACGCAGGTGCAGACGACGTTGAGGCAGGAGCAGGTAATGATACCGACTGGTGTATCTGGGGTGGGCTCTGTAGTTTGGTGGATCGTTCCCCAATCGAAGATACTGAGTCTCGCCGCGGCGGGTCCTTAGACGATCCTGGTGATGTTTGATCATTAGATTGGGAAGTACCCGGTCTCGCCTTGGAGCGCAAGCTTCCCGAACGCGACTTGAGACTGTTCTCCCCTCGACTATTGCGTGTCCCCTGAGTTATTGAATTGATCAGTGCTTGACTTCAAGGATGACTCCCGGCCGCAAGAACTTACATCAACCGACCCCTCCCGAGGGACACTCTCCTTAGACTTGACGGAGCTGGATTCACCAGCTGCCTTCTCGCGTGCCCTTTCCCGTTCCTTCTCTTTCTCCCGGCGTTGTTGATGACGGCGACTTCGCGCAACACGTTCATTATGGCAGTCCATACAGTAGATACCTTGGCTGGTCTTTGCGAACACGAGTTCGTCTATGCGTTTCTTGCAGACCTTGCAGTTGAAACAGTGGGCATGATAAGCATCGTCACCGGTCATGATGGCTTCGTCAAGGATGGGGAGGCCGCAGACATTGCAGCAATAGGAGCAGTTGGCGCATACGGGGGAACCGTCAGATAGCAAGAGGAGGTTGGTGTCGGCAGTCACTTGGTTGTTGCACTTTGCGCATTTAAAGCAGTCGACGTGGAATAACGATTGACTGCCAAATTGCTTAGTTTAAAGTCAAAGCACATGATGAATGTGACGCACCCAAATGCAACAACCACGCTCCCGTCCTCCGTAACCACAGTTTTCTTGCACCCAGGGCAGACTTTGTTCTCTACCATAAGAGAGGAGTTCGCGAGGACATCGGTAGTTGTAGCAGTGAGAGTAGATGCCATAACGTCGTTATATGAGTCCTAGGACAATTTGTCGTTGAGTTGACCGCCGGTTGCCAGATGAAATATGAACGAGTGTCGAGAGCGACCAGCACTGTAAGTCGACAACGAGGTGGCTGGGAGTCCTGGATGTCAGAACATCCAAAGCAGAAAGTTCTTTAACTAAAGGAACCTGAAAGAAGCTTTGGAGGGAAGTTACTAGGAGTAGTAGTAAGTAGTACCCTGCTAACCATTCAATTTGTGAGCTGGGGTCTAGAACTAGCCAGGTGTCGTGCCTGGATCCTCGCTTGACACTCGCTTACTGCATAACAGTACATCGGCCTTATAGTGTAGCGGTTATCACATCGGATTCTGACTCTGGACATTCCGGTAACTCAGGTTCGAATCCTGATTAGGCCTTCTTTTTCTCTTTTGTCGCTCTCCACACTGGATCAGTCCGAGTCGGAGTTTTGATGTCAGAGACGTTCAATGAACCGCTTCTTTGTTCATCACTGTACGATATATTTGATTATAAGCTCTGTTCATTTCATCAATTGAATACTGCAAAGATGACCGTCGTATATTTTTCCTGGATTGTCTATTTCTACTGTAAAGAAATATCAAATCCCTCAGCCGCAATCTGTGCCAAGAATATCTTTGTCTCTGCCATAATGACCAACCTGTTCCCAGCAAAAATCATGTTTGCCGAAGTGGTTTCAATGAAGAATTTTCCCAGCAACTCTCCCTCTGGATTCCACACCTAAGGCAACAATCAGTTAGAAGCATCCAAGGAAGTATTCAAATAACTTACTTGGACACCATCACCGGTACCAGCATAAACATTGCCTTTGTTGTCGAGCTGAACACCATCTGCAACACCGGTGTCGACGTATGCAAATACCCTTCTGTTTGCAAATGCTTGAGTTTTAGGGTGAACATCAAAGGCATAACTTCAAAAACAAGAGTCGTAAGTAAACAGATATAAGCCGGTGAATGATGGAAAACTAACATAGTCGCAGGGTGTGTTTGATTATTCCCTAAGAAACCACCAGAGGCTCCTGTATCGGCACTGAATATGGGTTTAGGAAAGGCCAACTCAAATACCAAATAAACCAATGACTTACATATAGGCAGTGTTACCGTCCTGTGTAAATGCTATACCGTTGCACTTGTCGAAACCGTCTGCTACAACTCGGATTCTTCCTGTGTCCTGGTCGAACCTGTATACTTGACTCGGCATCAAAGGATCCGGTCGGAAATGGTTAAGAAAACCGTAACTACAGTATATCGAAGTCAATGAAGATCCCATGAGCTATTTACTAAGGACGATGCAAACTCACATTACATCCGTGAAAAATAGCTTCTTGCTTTTCGGATGAATCTTTACGTCATTGAGGGAATTGAACTGTCGCCCGAAGAAATTATCTAAGAGTACCGTCGTGTTGTGCGGTGCCTCAGGATTAACAAGTGTAAGCGAAGGAGGTAAGGGTCCACGACCGGAATTGATGAGCAGAAGTTGACCCCGGAAGGGACCAGTACCACCGTTCGTCATTTGAACTGTCTCGGGGAGATCGAGCTTTCAAAACCGTGTGAGCGTGTGGCGTCTCGTCTAAGAGTGAAAGTACGACTGTACCTTGGTAACTGTAATATTGACATCCCGAGTCCCCGATGTTTTTGAGATCGCTTCTTGAGCTTCTTTCAGACTAATCTTGCTAACTTGGTTATTATGATCGAGATCACTCATCCCGAGCGCGCCGCCGTCATTGCTCGCAAAGAAGATCTCATCTGTGCTGGGAAGCCATATCGGTGCTTCGTGAGCAAAGGCGAACCCGGGGTTTGAGGCTATAGCGCGGATGGAAGGATTCTTGCCCAAAACAGTCAAGAAGTCGGGATGGAATGCTTGGAAGAATGGCGGGCTGGTGTTCGTCGGGTTGAAGAACTGCGTGAATGACGAATCTCGGAAGGAGCCATTTTGACCTAAAACATTGAACGTAAGGGGATCCACAAACTATGAAGGTGGATGTCAAGACAGACCCTCTGGAACTAAACGGTAACAAACTCACAACAGTCTGCGGTGGTAACGAAGTAGTCGCGCTCTGCGAGGCTGCTCGAGAGAACAGGAGCGATGTAACGAGAGCGACGATTCCCCCGGCCAACAGAGGCATCGTGAAATTCGAATTATGGGTAACTCGAACCGACGAATCTTCGTTTTGTGGATCAGGCTGTCCTTGAGGGGATTCTGTGGAGGCACTAGTGTCACGTATTGGCATGAATATATATTCAAGATCAAGGTGGGAAACAACAATAGTGTTGTAGATCCCATGACGACGCCTGTAAACATAGGCTAGATGCATGAGAGATTTCGAAGAATTTCATACCTTCTTTATTGGTGCCCAACTACTATACTTGCCAAACTAGGCAAGTTATTCTGTCTTCGATGTTTCCAATACTGGTCTAAATTAGGGTCGAAACGGCGTTTACGTGGATGGCAAAAGTTAGAACAGAGCTGATCAAGAGGGAGACATGATCATGACCACCTTTCAATTGAGACCTCTTAGCGTAAAGGCGGAGAGTCGTTCGGGGGAAGTGTTTTGCGGCACCATGTGACAGGACGAATCAGAATGGTATGCCATCAACCGAACGGTCCGCCTCCACCAAGAGACGTCACCATCCGGCTCGTCAGATCACAGGTCATACTAAGAATGACGTCGCGTCATGCTGGCATGAATGTACGGTCATTTCCCGAACCATGTCTCAGGTGGGATCATGTAATATCAATGAATCGCGAGGGCAGTCGACTCTACACAATCTGAACACTAGGATGAAGATCATTTATAGTGCGCCAGGACAACGGGAGATAAATCAAATTCAAGGGATTCGCCTGTATGAGAACACATAATCCACATTCGATATTCAATACCGGTACCTAGCGAAAGAAAATAGAGCAATGAGCGAACGTAACAAGCAAGCTTTGGTATATACTTACCGTTGTATGTCACCAAGTATTATGCAACGTTTAGGGAAAAAATTGTAGATCTCGGTGAGGCAGCCTGGTTGGGTCTGCAGAAATCCGAGCATAGGTAGACTTCTACCTTATTCAATCCGAATGCGTTTGGGGGCTGTAAACATCCATTATATCATCTAGTCATACATACAGTAAACGAGGCAAGCATTCCGAGAGCGTAGAGTTAAGAAATACAAGAACACAATCACAATCACGTACCAAAGAAATGGGCGAAAAACGACACAACGAGAGAAGACACAGGAACAAGATAGAGGTCTACATCAGCTTCGCTTCCCTCTTCGCCTGGGCAACCTGAGCCAAGCGATGGCTCCGCACTGAAGTTTGCGAGGTCTGGGTACCCTTCTTGTTTGTGGCGGTAGTTTGTGTCGCAGGCGCGATCGCTGTCTGGGACATGGATATACGCGTCTCATCTGACGCGAAACCGGGAATACGAATATTGTGGTTGCGTTCTAGTTTAAGGATAAGTACCAGGGTTTATTACCACGAAGCTAGCCACTCACCGAGATGTAGTTGTAGGTCTTTGATTTCGAGGCTATCAGCCCCTCGGTGTTTAGCAAGTCTGCAACCAAAGTTTGTTACAGAGTCGATGAATTCGTCTGCGATATCAAGTAGAAGCTATAAATGGAACATTCGTGAGTGCTATTCATGTTTATTCGAATAGTTCACTTCCACATACGTCTTCAACTTCCGGTTCAATCTTAACGTTGGGATCGATACTAGCAACAAGATCCTGAACGGATCGTCGCATGCTCTGATCACTCGGAGTGTTCTTTCTCCGCGCGCGAGTATCCTCCAAAGTCTCATCGGGATTTCTGCCAGTTTGTGCAGGCGTGCCTAGATAATGTATCATGAACAGATATCCTGAGCTAGTCGTGAAGGCTATCGTACCCGCCACACGACCACTTGCGACGCCCCCGGTGAGGGTTGGTCTGCCTTGTTGAGCCTGTGTCCATTGTGTCGCTCCAGTGGCCGACGGCGTGATAGAGGTACTTATAGGATATCCATCATTAGCTTGAGATGGTGAGTTCAAGAAAGGACCAGGAGTTTGCGTCTTGAACGCAGCTGAGCTGGCCGTAGGCTGTTCACGGAAACGCATGTTTAGATGTAGGGAAAAGGAAGAGAAGTACAGTGTGCCACACCTGGGCCACTTTATGTTTGTCCGCATATTCTTTCAACTATATATAAAGAAGGAATAAGCCAATGGAGCCACTGATCAAGAAGACACGAGGTAAACCTGCAAAATCTGTTGTTGGTTCAGTTTGCCCTGTTTGGCTAACTCGGATAGTTGGGACATGTTCTGTAGGAGTAGTTGCGCGATCCGTTCTCCAGGAAGTGGGTCCCCATTTTGTGTTTTGAATGCTGCTCCAAGTGCAGTAATGATATTGGCTGCATTAGCGGTGCCCGCTGGAGTAGACGGCGTGGCCATGGTAGTAAGAGGAACGATGTAAATAGTAAGGTCATATTCACGGCGTGCTTCTAGTGGTCGCGATTGACGCTCTAAATTATAGTTGATCGTAGCCGATACGTTAGAAGGGGTCGGTGGCGTAGTTGGTTATCGCATCTGTCTAACACACAGAAGGTCCTCAGTTCGAACCTGGGCCGACTCATTTTTTCGTGTTCCAGACCATTTACCCGTCCCCAGAAGTGCAGCTCTGTATTGATGGTGATGCCACAACCTTGTACAGCACCAACCCGAGTTTTAGTAGCAACCAACTACACGTCCATCCAGTGAACGATTGCCTATCGGTGACCTCAACGTTGTATCTATATATATATCTGCCCCTATTCCACGGATTAGGGAATCACTGTAAGTACCTTCCAATATGACGCCCCCGCTAATCCTTACGTCTCCTAGACATCGATATAATGTTGTATCCTATCTCAGACTTACAGCTCTCCAATCTCTTCAACATCAGGAGCGCGTGTCGCTGTGTATCAAACCGCTAATAAGCAATGAAGCATGTCAAGAGAGTCACCTTAACGTCCAAGAAGAATTGGTGGATGGGTACGCGATCCTGTACAACTATATTCATGGCATACACTCAAACGGCGTTTAGTGGAACTCGATGAGGAAGAACAACAGGGTCATGCCTCTACGCCGACGCTCACGGCAGTCTCAACCGACAGCGGCACTGTCGTCAATGAGCCGCCAGTCATTCGTCCTACAACAACGAATGCGCATCGATCCACGACTCATAGTTACCAGACAGCACCTCATGCATCCGGTCCTATCTTCACCCCTCCGCATAATCCCTCATCTATCTTCTCTTTTCCGACCCCGACATCATACAGCGCACCACCAAACCCCACACAAAATCTCGCCCCTTGCGCAACAGGGTCCGCATCAGAACTGTTCAAATGTATTGTCAAAAAGCCAAATGTTGTACAACTCGAA